TATATATATATATATTCAGTCTAAAAATCTATATTACTTGCTTTATTAAATGTATTATTTAATTTTTTTCAATTGATATTTGTAATAAATAAATATATCAATACAATAATAATACTCAATTGTCATGACTCATGAATTCTTGATGTTGATAAAATTTAAATATATCATAGTAAAAATAATTTATATAATAAATCTCAATAGCTTAATTATTATGAAAAAAATTAATTTTTTTCTAGAATAACATATCATAGCCATAACCTCTTAAATTTTGGATAAATAATTTTATAATATATATTAAAATCTTGGAACTTTTATTGTAATGTTTAACAAAATTCGTTAGTAATAATTCTTTCATTAAATATAAAATAAAAGCAAAATTAAATAATATCAATACTTTAAGAGCAATTATAAAATTATTTTATTAAAAATAAATAAATCTTATGATAATTATATTTTCAAACTATTGAAACAGTTAGACATGCATAAAAGATTATTATAGAATTGAAAGAGAATTTATTTAATGTCTTAAGGTTTTTATAAGGAAAAATTTTAGGTGAAGACTCTTGACCCAACATAATAAAAAAGAGGACCTCAATATTTTTGAAATTTTTCTGAAGGGCCTTGCATGGAATTTATTTTAAATTTGTGACAGAAATGATAAAATTACCGTCATTTAAATGAACAACATAAACGATTTGTTCGTTTCTATATTATATATTATTTATTTATTTACAGAATATTGTCCGTTTTCCTACTTCACTTGTTTATAGTATTATTTTCACTTGATTTCATTCCAAGAGCCATAAACAAGTGAAGTAGAGAAATAGACAATATTTCATAAATAAATGAACAATATACAGTATGGGAATAAATCAGACGTCTTATCATGAAATCAATACTTGAAATGAAATCAAGTGAGTTTATTCCTATATTATATATTGTTCATTTAAATGAGGGTAATTTTATCATTTTCATCACAAATGTAATTTCAATTCCGTATGGGGCTTTCAGTAAAATTTCAAAAATTTTGAGATTCTTTTTTTTTTTTTTTTTGGGATCAAAGGTCACAAATATTTGATCAAAGGTCCTCACCTGAATTTTTTTTTTTCCCAGCTGGTCTCCTGTCTCCGCCGCTGCTGTCCAGTGCCCTTGGCTTGTGAACTCCCAACGTGAATACTCGCGCGAAAAAATGACATTGTCGGCCTTTTGGCGTGCGTCTGATTTTACGAAGTCTTCAGGGATCTGTGTTGCACGTTGGGTGCCTCCTCCTCTTGCGACACGACCACACTGCCAAGGACTATTTTCTACTATTACTACGAGCTTCGGAATGATTTTATTTTATTAAAAAAATTCGACCGAATTATATACCTTCGTTTATTTAATTTTATTTGAAACTTTATCTTTATTCTTTATTTCATTTTAATAATAAAGCCTTAAGACTAAATTAAAACTAAATAAAATTGAAGAATGACAATATTTTTTTGTGTGAAAAGAAAGTGCCAAAATTGGAATTAAATTAAGTTATTAAATAAATTGGATACTTTGAAGTCATGAATTTAACTATAAAGGGATAGGATAGAATAAAGCAATAGAACTATATATGGACTCATTTTCTTAGTATTTATTTTCATCTATTTATATCCCTCGTGTTATGTACACAACTTTTCCTATAGATATACAAGTAATTTAATTATGAAGCAGGTCAAACGATTTAATTATTAAATATTCAAATTTTATTTTCGGTCTTCAAAAATATTTTTCATTTACATGATTAAATTGACTAGTCAAACCACATTGGTGTAAAGTTCTCTCAGGCTTCGTATAATTTTTTTCTGCTTACAAAATTTGAATTCAAAACATTTACTCGATAAGTATTGCCAATAGTAGTTAGGTTAAGTATGATATGCATTTTTTTAATATTGTACGATATTTTTTAACAACACTGTGCTCAAAAGTATAATATATTTTTAGTTTTTAATATGTAATTAATAATTTTTTAAAAAAACTCTTAATTAAGAGGTATTTTCAATAAGATTTTCTAATTGGAATGCCCTATTAAATAAATATAAATATAAAAAAATATAATTTTAAAGATAATTAACTAATTTATTGAAGGTGTAATTTGATTAAAAATATTTTATAACACTGATCAAAAAGAGTTTTTTTAAATGAAATTAAGAATTCAAGTTTCATATGAAATATTTCTTTTATATTATTATTTGGCCTGTTAGACCCTCCTTATATGTTTCTCGCCCAATGAAATGCACAGTATAAATGGGGTTAGCTGGTTGTTAGGTTGACACTGGCATGTCAAGTTCGAAATTACTCCTTCTATCTTTATATATAAAATATTTTTAATTAAATCTCACATGTTAATAAAAATTTGTTATTTAATTAAACTCACATAAAAATATAATAATTTTTTAATTTTATCTTTAATAATATTATAATTAATATTATAATAGTAGTAGATAAAACATATAATTAATATTTTATTTTATTTTTTAAGATAAGAGTAAAATTGTATAATTACTCAAAAATTTTATTAACACCTTTTATATTTAAAGATAAAATAAATTTTTAAAAAATATTTTATATATAGGGATGGGGAGAGTATGTGTTTTTCATGCACATTGGACGTAATGTAAATGTTCAATTCATCAATTCTTCATAAATATTCTCTCTTCCCACGTGATTTTGTCCACTCATCTAGTTAATCTATTTCGTTTAAATTGTTTCTCCTCATCTTAATAGCATAGCACACATTACATGACACTTTTGGAATATTTAATAATTTTCCTTTACCATATGACTCCAAATAACTTCAACCAAGTACTGTTGAACTGCAACTAGCCTGAAAGTTTCTCCATGTATTGATACAGTATAAAATAAATAGTAAATATTTTATCCATAAATAATACGCATAGGTTATTTTAGATTCAAAGAATTCAATGAAAAATGTATTGTTTTAAGCCTTGATTTGCTTGACTTAAACGCAATTTCTCGTATGGAGTTTGAAAAATTAATAATGCTAACACTTCCTTCATTAAAAATATAAAACATTTTTAATTAAATTTTACTTTTCAATAAATCAATTAATTGTCTTTAAACTTAGCTTGTACTATTTTTTATATTCATCATTATTTAATAAATATCTCACTTAAAGATAAATGGTTGACTAGTTATTTATTAAGGGCATTTTTCAAAAAAAAAATAATAACACTTTAAAATAGTAAAAATATTTTGCATTTTTACATGTTTAACTCCTCAAAAAGTGTATTATATTTTTAAACAGAATGAGTAATACATACTAGTAGAATTTGTTATTGATTTTATTTTATTTTGTGTATGTGTGTGTATTGATAAATTAAAGATATATTCATGGATGATTGAAAATCTAATATATTTTGGATTCAATTGAAAAAAAGGGGTTGGTTTATAAGTTTTCCAAGGTCAAGCGAAAGTGTTAATATTTGTATAAGCTATGTTTGTAAATATGTTGAAAATGAGTGGTTTAAAACTTTTAAAAATACACTATTCTCACGTTAAATTTTTTTAGTATAATTATTATATTAAATTATATTTAAATATTATCAAGTCTAAATTAAAAATAACATTTTTAAATATATTTTGTTTTGCATTCATAAGACTTAAAATCGAACTTGTGAACTTGTGCTATTTTCACCGATCATCAGACCATGTCTTGACGAAGATGAGTGTATTTTCAAACATGTATTAAAATAAATTTTACTTTAATGTGTGTATGTATGAAAAGTAAGCAATACTTTACCAGCGCACATGGCCAAAAGATGTCAAGACTTTTAGCTTGGTTTGACTATTAATTTGGATATTACTACGCCTTTTTTTATTCGACTTGTGCATGTCGTCCTTACATATAGAAACCAAACCATGCTAATTTTTTCTATATTATTTCAATTTTATCCGATATCCCCGAAAAGACATTAGTACACCCTTTTTAACAAAAATGATTAAGGTGACTAAGATTAAAAATCATTTTAAATTTATGGGGTTTGATTTGTGACGCACCTGCATTATAGGTAGTGGGGATTTTAATTTTATATGTAGACTTATATAAATAACTCTCGATATTTGATAATAATAGTTATAATGTTCTATAAAATATGTGTGTATTGCCCCCATGTTTTAAATACTAAAATTTCTGGGACGGTAATCGTGTGAAATATATTACTCTCTTCGTTTAATATTAAGATTTTTTTAAAAAATTATTATACACTTTGAAAGATCTAAAAGACTTTACATTTTTTTACATAACACTTTACATATATAAAAATATCTTTTAATATTAAACAGAGAATATATATTTAATTCGGTCATTAATATAAGATAAATTTAACTAATTTTGTGTTTATTAAGAAGTAATAGTTATATATATCTTTAAAATTGTTGAAAATTATGTTACTTTTTAGTTGTACTCCCTTTGTCCTAAATTATAGGACCTTTTAAAAAAAAATTTCTGTCTCAAAATATAAGACACTTTGGGTAGATTAAAGTTTCATTAAATGTATCAATTTTAATCTCACCCTTTCTCTCTTTTATAATTAATTTTCATCCATTCCTTTTTTAATATATTAAATGATGGACATTTTTAAAAATTTATATTTTTATTTTGAAAAGATAAAGTTATAAAGTATATTTAATAAGATTTATTGATATGTGAATTTCTATCTAAAAGTGTCTCATAATTTAGAATGGAGAAAGTATATCTTTTATAATTAATAACCATCTTAAATTGTTGTATACAAGATTTAACAAAAACATTTTTTTATCTATGAATCTAAACCATAATAAATAAACCACGATTAAAATTAATAAAATAATTAATTATTCCATTTTTACTTTATATTAAGAATAAAAATTTTAAAAATTTGTCTGATATTAAAAAAATTAAAAAGAGGATGTATGACTCAACCGGGCAAAGCAACTATAAAAGCACAAGAGCATAGGTGAGGTCTGAGAGGTAAGTGCTAGCTGCAACTTGAAGCAAATTCTCCTCAGTACCTCAGTCATGGCTTGCACTGGCCCCAAGGTAAGCAACCAGTTGATGCTATCTTCTCCATCTGAAACTGTGCTATCTGCTTGAATTGACAAGTCTTTTTTTTCTAATGATGCTAAATAAACTGTAAGGTTTTGGTCCCCATTGCCGATGGCACTGAGCCTATAGAGGCTATCATCACCATCGACGTTCTGCGACGATCCGGAGCTGATGTTACCGTTGCTACTGTCGGGAAACAGCTTCTTGCTGAAGCCATGATCGGCATCAAGATCATCGCTGATGCTTTGGTTTCTGATGTTGCTAATAACGTCTTCCACCTCATTGTTCTGCCTGTATAGGCTTCTCTCTCTCGTTCTGCAAGCATACAAAGCTGTCTCATTGGAGCTTTGACAGCTTATATCCTTACTCTCTCTTGTACTTGAGCCTTCATTGGTGGTTACTCCTTAATTGATTTCATACTGACTCATCTTTTATTTTTCCCCCAAACTAAGGGAGGGCTACCGGGGGTAGATAATCTGAGAGACTGTGGAGGTCTAGAAAGCTTGGTGAAGAAGCACGCTGCAGATGGACGGCTTTACGAGGCGGCTTGTGCCGCCCCCGCCGCGGTGCTTGGACCGTGGGGCTTGCTCACGGGACTCAAGGTATAAGTTAGCTCTCTGTTCCGCATTTTTGTCCTATATATGACAACAGTTAAAGATAATAGCTTAATTAGGAGAGAAATTAAAAAATAGTAAAAAATTATTACTTTCGAAAATTTATAGGCTTGTTATTTTGAGAATAATTTTTTATTTTTTAAAATAAAAAAATATGTTTAATAATGTGCTTTTAAAAATATTTTTTTAAAAAAAATTAAATATTGTTATGGAGAATAAAAAACAAAAACTATCTTTTAAGTATTTTAAAATTATTATTTTAAAGAATACCAAAAAATATGAAATTACTTGTTTTTTTTAATATATATTTTATAAAATATCAATTTTTAAAATAATAAAATAAAAAACAGTTTCCAACCTCTCGGCTTTAATTTCTTACTTTTCTCCGTGATCAAACCAAGCCAAGGGTTACTTGGTATTTGCTTCTTAAAGTGATTGAAGGCCATTTTCTTGGTGGGTTAGAAAATCCATTGCTTCTCTTTTTGGTGTCTACCGAGGGTATCCCTTACTTGTCAAGGATCCCAATCCCCCTCAAGAGGTGTGGAGATCCCATAGAAGTTGTAAATGCAACATAGCAAATGCTTAATAGAAGAGCTTTACCGCTTTATTATTACGGAACAGGCACTGGACATCAATATTCTAATAAAAAAATCATTACTTTTTCCGTTTAAAAATATAGATTTTTTTAAAGAGTTTGATGTTTAAAAATATAAAATATTTTTAGTCTTTTAAGTTATAATTATTATCATTTTTTTAAAAATATCTCTATTAATAATGACTTTATATTTATTATGAGGCATTTAATATGGGTAAATATGAAAAAATAAAATTAATAGAAAAGTAAGTAACTGTTTTATTAAGATGAAATTCGGTTAAAAATAACTTATATTATTAAACAAAGAGATTACTTTTTTTAATAAAAACTAAAGTACATACTTAATTTTTTAATTTTGCATGAGATTTTATTTTAATTTTATAAAGCATTTTTTCAGTTATTTAATTCTAACATCATCATCATCATCATTTTTTTTTTTATTTTTGCTCTAGTATCTTGAGTCTTTTACCAATATGGTCGGTAGCTTGCCGGCATTAATTTCATTAATAATTTTTTTTATATTAAACTTTTAAATATTAACAATACTTTTACATGTTGACATATTAGATTTAATTTTTTAAAATAAAAATAATTGACAAAAAAAATATAATCATTTAAAACTAATATTATTATAATTAAGATTAAAAAATATTTTATAAAATTAAAAAAATAAACTAAAATTTTATATAAAATTAGATGATCGCTTTAGTCTCATATAAATTGGGAAATACTTGTATACCTATCGCAAAATTAGCAATTTCTATCACAAAACTACGAACAGTACTCACTTACAAATGGAGAGAGAACAAACGGACAATATAAGGGATGAATGACAGCATATCTCAATTTAAAAAGTGTTCTTCCACTATATTATATATTAATTATAAAGCTTAATTTTATATTAATTCAAGTTTACTTATGCTTAAATATTCTAACAATTTTGGTCGTTATCAGCAGCCGGTGATAATATTATTTCCAACAATCTAAGCCACTTTACCTAATACCACTGATGGATGTGCGTGTGGTGATTTGAAAGGCAACAGGTTATCCTTCATTCATGGAAAAACTGGCAGCTTATGCAGACGCGGTTGAATCAAGAGTGCAGGTGGATGGCAGACTTGTTACTTGTGGTGGCCCTGGCACTTCTATGGAGTTCGCCATTGCACTGCTTGAGCAGTTATATGGAAAACAAAAGGCTCGTCAAATTGCTGGACCACTGGTGAACAGTCCTTTACAATCTAATTTTACTGATTATCATTCACAGAAAAACATGAAAAATCATACTGTCATTAACTCCTTATACCCAAAAATATATATATATGTATATATATATATATGTATATATATATATATGTATTGGAAATGGAACTATCCCTTTTTTTTAGTTTTAAGAATGAAGTATACTTGGCTTATATCAATCCAATTAACTGGCTGTGGTTTATTGGCGTGATTAACCCAAAATGCTTAAGATATATTTTCATATTTATGTTGTCATCATTTTCTTCAACTATGTTGTTTAATTAATTTATTGTCTTTCTCATGGGTTTTATGTGACGACAACTTCAGGTCATGCGTTCAAATCACGGTGCTGAATATACTTTTACTGAGTTAAACCCAACAAAATGGACATTTGATCATCCACCAAAGGTGAGGTTTGGGCCTTGAGATTTCGTGCATTCAATCAGCATTGCAAACTGGTCATACCTTCACTAATTACCCAAGGAGGACTGTTTTATTTTGAATTCTTTTTGCTGGATTTGTGTCTACTGATTATATTGTACGTTCTTGAATTTCCACTGTCTTTAATTAGGTTCTTGTACCCATTGCTAATGGCACTGAAGAAATGGAAGCCGTGATGATAATTGATTTTTTGCGAAGAGCTGAAGTAAATGTTACAGTTGCTTCTGTTGAGGATAAACTAGACATTGTAGCTTCTCATAGAGTAAAATTACAGGCAGATTTACTCCTTGATGAGGCAGCAAAACAATCTTATGACCTTATAGTGTTGCCAGTAAGTGCCCTTCTTTACTTGCACCTGATTATTAGCCAGCCATTAGAAGTTGGGTTGATTTTTTTTTTTTTTGGGAACCTTCCAGGGTGGATCTGGTGGTGCTCAAGCTTTTGCAAACTCAGAAACCTTGGTGAGCTTGCTTCAGAAGCAAAGAGAATCAAACAAATATTATGGAGCAATTTGTGCATCCCCGGCTTTAGTTTTGGAGCCCCATGGCTTGCTCAAGGTGTGTCCGTTTCTGGATCAACTTATTATCACTATCTCATTTAAGGGGCCTTATGAACTGTGTGAGATGCTGGAATCACAATTCCCTCTTCTTCAATTTATTTTGCCAGGCCTTGCCCTCTATTGTATCAAAAAAAAAAAAAAACTTCTTATCACTATGAGCATAACTTTTACCGAATCGTTAATTAACTGAAGCTACTTATAATATGATTAACTTTGATGGAAAATCTTGGTAAAATGACAATTATTGATTTATTATGATTTGTCAAGTGGAGGATTAAAATTAACGTATAGAAGAGACTATAGAAAATAAATAGCAAGCAGGCAAAGAGTAAGAAAGGAACGTTGCATTTTAACTCAACCACAAAACTTGAGTTTATAAGTTATTTTGCTTTATTATATATTAATTATTAAATTTACTTTTATCTAATACGAGACTTCTTACATTAACTCAACTCCATCTACACTTTAACATTCTAACAATTAAATGTTTTGTGTTATTGTCGAATAAAACAAACTTGTATATTTGGTTCTTACGCAGGGCAAAAAAGCAACGGCTTTTCCTGGCCTGAGCAACAAGTTATCAGAGCAGGGTGAAGTTGAAAAGAGGGTTGTAGTTGATGGCAACCTTATTACCAGCAGAGGGCCAGGGACAGCCTTGGAGTTTGCACTAACTATTGTGGAAAAGCTATTTGGACGCGAGTCAGGGCTTGAGCTTGCAAAGTCCATGGGTTTTACATCGCATTAGTCTTGTGTTTCAACATTTTGGTTAGCTCTATGGCTAACTTTTACTTTCTTGCCTTGTGTACCAATAACGAGTCAAAATGGAGAAGTCCCTCTTCATGTGGAGTGGTAGATGAATAAAGATTTGTGAGTCCTACTTAAAGTTATTAATTGTCATCTTCAAAATACAAAATATAATATGTATCTCACCTCTCATGTAGAATAATCTGGGTATAGAAGACCCTTAATGAATTTTGCCCTTCTTGTTCCTAGCAGCTTGGATCTGATCTGCAAGCGAAATTTCCTTCCGCATTTTTTCCTTCTTGATGAGCTCCAGATCCAATTTCTTAGAGTTTGGAAAAATGGAATTCAGAACATTTCCTTCCCTATGTTCTTGATCATTAGTGCTCTCCCTTATGCAAAACTAAAGACAAGACAAACACAGCATCGTTAGAATGTAGAAGTAATGAGGCACATTACAAACATAGAACAACAGGGTCAAGGGATCCGTTCAAATGAATGAATACATGGTATAGCTCTACTTAATTAATAGGCAGTTGTGAGCATTATATACCAGACTTTAAAAATGACAACTTTGACAAATACAGGTAGCATTCTTTAGATGTGGGTGATAAGGTCATGTAGAAAATTTCTCCAACTAACCATCACAACAATTCCTTCAAATGAATTTTATGTGCCATAACTCTAATGGAAAATCTCACAACAAACATGTGAGATGCTCTTCTAAAATTTCCTCACTTAAATATAACAAGCACATCCACCAGTGCATATTCACGAGATAAATACCCATTTACTCAGCATCTCTTCCTCTCTTTTCAAGCCTTACTATCACAATATAACAGTTCTATATTTAGGATATGTTAATTGAGAACATAAGAGTTCCTAAATGACATAGGAATCAAGTTACCGAACTTTCTCTTTTTTAACTCATACAAACATAAAGAACTTCTATCAATTTCCCCTTTTCTTTTTGTACGAGGAAGAAGTCCGATTCTTTACAGATAAACAACACAATCCACTACTAAGTTCATTTTTCCATATATATTTCATATGAGCATGTTATTCTAGTTTTCAATTACCTTTACAAAGTTTCTTGTGTGTGCTCCTGTGTGTACATAGCCTATGAATGAGGAAATTTGAAGCCCTACCTTTAGTTTCGAGTTAAGCGTAAAATCTACTGGAACCTCTAAGTCACCTTTGACTTCTTTTGCTTTTCCATGTGACTGAGCGTTTATATTCCATGGAGCCTTAGCCCTCTCGTCATGCTCTCTTTTCTTTTGTGTGAGCATCATCTTTTTTATTGCTCTTATCTGCGCTGCTCTCTCAGCTCTTATCCTTGCCATTTCATTTGCTTTTGCCTTTTCAGCAGATTGCTGAAGCTGATACTGGAGAGCCATTTCCTGTTCTATCTTTTCATAGCTATCCCAGTCTAATTCTTGCTCACCTTTCCCTCCCCTTTTAGCTGCTGTGGCTATGGTTGTAGCCCATGACTCCATGAATTTCTTTGCTCCAGCAATGGCAATCTGCTTTCCTTTTCCTTTTTGCTTATCCCATAGCAGTTGATGGTGCTGCAATTGTTGTTTTATCTTATCATAGCTATCCCAATCTAGCTCTTCTTCATCACTTCCTCCTTTCCGAGCTCCATTTGCTATGCTTTGTGCCCATGAAAGGAGAAACTGCTCCTTCAATCTCTTTGATTTCAAGCGCTTTTGCCAAACATATCTAAGTGAAGAACTTATTTTTGCCTTGATTTGATCACTGCAGGGAGGTTGATAGATATTGAGAAATATGCGGTTATGGACTGCATTAAACTACGCATCATGCTAAAGCTCAGCCTAAGATCCATGTCAAAAAACTAAGCCAATAAAGTGCAAAATTCCATTAGGCTAAGTTTAGACTCATTATGCCAGTGGCTTTCAGGTGCACTGAGAACAATTAAAAGATTTCTATTGAGCTCAAACATTATATTAAGATAAATTTTCCTTTTAAAAATTTAATGTTTTCATTATTTAAAGGGCTCTAAAAATCTAACAACTAATAAATTTTGCAGACACAAATTAAATGTGATATAAGAAGATACTATCAAGGATAGAAATCAAAAGCTATATTTACTATCCTCACTATGTATCCTTTAAAGGGTAAAAGCAGATTGTTTGACAAATGAGGCCACATATTACTCCAATTCAGACAAGTGGCAAAAACCAACAAACCCAGAGTTAATTGGCAAAATACTAAATAGACTGTTAATCTGAACAAGTTGCATCGGCTTTTGTAAGCTACCTAATGAAGAGTGAAACGTCAATTTTGCAAGCTTATTGCCTATGTTATTTCAGCATGTTTCTGAACACATACAACTTTCACATATTAGTCCAAACTCCAAAGTCAATCCCCAATATCTTTCTACTTCCCATTCTTTTCCGTATTGAATGCTGAAGTAGTAATTCTCCTCCTCTTTACTGTTTCTAGATGATGGATGCCCAACATTATACGTTCAATGTAATCACTTATTTTTTTATCTTTTCTTCACCTATTATAAAGCACACATCTTTCTACAGTATGAGATTATTTTCTTCTTTAAGCAGGCAGACAGACAAATGATTAGATGCAACACATAACAGGCATCTTTACCTATGAGAGCGAGGATGTTCAGACATCTTGTTCCGAACCTGAAAACGTGTCAAGATAGGGGAAAAATGATACCAATTACTTGATGAATCAAGAGAAAGGAATTAGAAAGTGCAGAAAACATTTATGTTTTTTCTTTTCTTCATCTGTTTTGTTTGGGATGAAAAATGTTACCATAGGTCATCTGACACATCAAAATGATAATCATTATAGTGTTCAAGAATAAAAAAAATTAAGAGAATTGTCATGCACTAGTAAGGCTGTTATCAACATTTATAAGATAGGGCATGTTCCAAAAACTGCAATCATTCTTACATGACTTCACCTTAGGGTCTCTCAATGCCTCCAGTGTTCTTTGCTTGATTCGCTCCCGGGTCTCTGCATTAATGTGTAATATCAGTGGTTCACAATTAACCAGCCAAAACAAGCATCAATGTACATTCATTTGTAATTTCTAAATACCTGCGGTGTGCTTCCTCCCTTTGTTCCAAGGCACTTTTCCCTTGTTAGCTAGTCCTATTTTGTCCGTCGAATTCTCTCCCTAAGCATTTTGCTATCCAGAGTTTCTACAGAGTCGCTACAACCAACAACTTCATTCCCAATGTTCAATATTGTCCTTTCAGATGAACCAACGCTGACTTTTGACTGATTATACTCACCAGCACCAGATGTCTCCCCATCATAAGCGGCAATAAGCAGTTCCCCAGGGCAAACCCTTTGAGATGAACAAATAAAATCTAATTTGGGAGTCACAATCTTCGCCACAGATATTTGATGATGCACTTTTGGTGGGCTTGGAGGATAATGAGTGAATTCCACCACATTGCTCAAAAGTGGCCTTGAATCAATGTTTGACGTATGATTCAAGGAAGAGAGTAAAGAAGACATTCCTCTGACAGGATTATATGCAAAAAAAAAAAAAAAAAATTATGAGATAAATTGTGAAACACACAATAGACAGCAAGCTGATGCATCTGTTTCTATGCATTTGGATATATAATCAACTACTAATGTCAAGCTGAAAAATTAAACAGCCAAATTTCACCTCCCTAGTGACTCTACAACACTATACCATGCTGAGAAATATAGGGCAAATCAACCATTCAGACTAATAAACTACAGTTGAATCGACCCTAACAGCGCCCATTTGAAACTAAGAGAACTTCTGAAGATGAAACAGCGTTAAGGCACATACTGTCACTAAATTCACCAAACCAAAAATACTATTATAACTGCAACGTTCAAGTTCAAACATGAGAAGCACAGCAGAAGAGACGAATTGGGTTAACTCGAGCACAGACAAACACAGAGCACCAATAGACAAGAGACAGAGAAAGAGCTTACAATGAATTGAAGGCGAGCATTAGAAAAGTGGGAGACCCCGAAAACTGTAAAGGAAGCAATTAGCAAATGAAGTTGAAGCTCAGGCCCCGAAAAAAAAAAAAAAGACAGAGAAGAGGGTGAAGCTGAACCCGGATGTCTGCTTCTCAAACGGCACCTAATCTACATTTTGCTAATGAATGGGAAGCGGCCCTTCACCCTCTCTCACTTTACTCGTTTTCGTTTTACGTTTTTTTTCCCCTTTAGTCTGAGATTACAAAGGAGATATTGCTAGTTAAAATCCCCTAGAAAGCAAGACCTGGTACGACCTAAGAAAGAAAGATAAAAATAAAATGACCCAAATGCCCTCGTCGTAGTTGCTACCTCTCGGGTCAGCGAAGATGGAAGATGCAAGTCCGGAGCGAAAATGCTCGGGACAATTTTAAATAACAATCAGGAATGTAATGCAATTATTAATAAATTTTAAAAAAATTTAAAATTTTATTTTTTTTGGCCAGTTATTATACAAAATTATTAATTATTATTTTTTTATTTTATTTATTAATTCAATAACATGAGTTGCAAATTACAGAAGTTAACATGCCACTAGTTATATAAATTTAACATCAATTGTTCAATTATAAACAGTAATATTAATTGTTAAATTACTTACTTTACTTATTAATTTACTAACATCATTTATAAAGTACTAACATGTCTTGTAATTTATAACTGATATTAGTAAATTAATAATTAATGTTATTACTTGCTTGACATACGGATACGGATGTAATTTATAAGTGATATTGGTAAATTAATAAGTAAAGTAAGAAAACTAACAATTAACAATTTTACATAAAAGGTGAAAGATACTTTAATTTTTTAAAATTAAAAGTATTTACACTTTTATTTCTTGAATTGAAATGTTAAAAAATTTTAAAACTTATTAATAATTAAATCACATCCCTAATTCTCATTTAAAATTCTCCCAAAATCTTAAGGTAGTCTATGGTCTATGTGTATACCAACAAACAGGTTCCATCAAATAAAATTGATATTGTTGCTTTACATATTTTTTGTGTGAACCATGCTAATCTTCTATTTTTTAATTTAATTTATAAATCATTTTTAACGTATTTTATATAAATAAAAAAATTTAAAAACTCATTAATTTTATAAAAAAATAATATTTTTTAACTTTACTCTTATCAAATATATATATATATACTTTAACGATATATTTTCTTTTTCCAACATTTAACAAAGAATAACTGAAAAAAATTGTGATAACTTAACGAGGTGTTTTATAAATAAGATAATAAAATTTTCTCTTTCTATCCTAGTAATAGGACCAAAGAGAGCATGTATTGTTTTAATTTTATTGAATATCTTCAAAGGACTAGCATATTTTCTTGTTTTAATTTAGTCATTATTCAAACTAAAATAGTCACTAATATTTACAATATTTAAACTTTAGTGATTAAAAAATTTATAGAGAGAAATTACTTATTTTATTTTAATTATTATCAGAAGAAAAATAATTATAACTTAAATTAAAATAGTTATTGATATTTATAATACTTGCACTTTACTAATTAAAAAATTTGTAGAGCAATCATTAATATTTTAAATTAGAGTTATTATACTTTACTGGTATTTATAATATTTGCACTTTAATCATTATCAGAAAAAAAATAGTTATTACTTAAACAAAAGCAATCATTAATATTTTAAATTAGAGTTATTATAATTATTTTACAAAAGACATTAATATTAGAAACGTTCCAATGAATTTAAAAAGAATTATTATATTTCACAGGACGTCATTGTTATTTACTTATTTTAGGGATTTTTCTGCCATCAAATATAAGAATTATAAATAAGAATATCAACTACACATGAACTTGATGCATATAATTTATTTTGTTCAATTTTCAGCGCCTTAATCACCAAGTAACTACTCTAGGTACGCTGAACTTGATGAGATTCAGCGCCTGTTCTTTTTCATTATAAACTAGATTTTTAGCCTATACGATGCACGGAACATTAATCCACCAAAGTCCAGTGATGTGAGGGGGGGTGGGGAAAAAATTTAATGAAGTCATTTTTCTTTAAAAAAAACAATCAATTTGTAACTCTGTATATGTTAAAAATATAAAGAATAATTTTTTATTTTAAAATTGGTAATGCCTACCTAAATTAAAAATAAAATCCATCAAGATAAAAATTATAGTTAATTTGAAAAAAAATATGAATGTAAAATATATTAATATAATATCATACATTTTAAAAACGTAGTCAACTCTATCTAACAAGATAAAATTATTTATTATTGTTGCAATATCATAAATTTTAAAAATACAATTTAAATTTTAAAAGTATAATTTAAGTTTAAATTTTTAAAAAACGTAGCATTGATAACTTTATTTTTAAAAAATAATTAAAAAATAAAACTCATTTTCCCATAGTTAATGGGAGAATGAGAGTTAGGTCTTAAAAAGATCAATTAATTTAAATTAAGTTTTAAGTGTTAAACTCCAGAAATTTATAAGTTTGACTCTTAATTTTGTAATCTTATTATGATGAATTTATAACTTATTTTTCAAATTTTAAGATAGTTGAAGAATAAATAAATCTATTTTTTTGTAAAAATTTAAAACATAAATTACAAATTTATCACAACAAAATTACAAAATTAAGAGCCAAACTTATAAATTTTTAAAATTTAACACTTGAAATTTAATTTAAATTAATTGGTCCATTAAAACCTATCTATCATTCTCCCCATAGTTAATATAAGGGGAAATAATAATAAAAGACCATTAAAAAAAATTATATCAGCCAATGATTAATTGTTGTCAGAGTTCAAATAAAAAAACTTTAATAAATTATTGTTAATTTAAAATAAATTATTGTTAAAATTTGAATAGATACTTATTGATAAAAGGTTAACTTAAATTAATAAGTATCGATTTTAATTTTAATAACAAATGAACATTGATTGATATAAATTTTATTTAATAATCCTTGATTGATTTTTTTTTTTCAATATAATCCTGATGTCAAATCAGAAGGCTCTCACGCGCTATTGCACTAAGCCGCTTCAATACGGAAAAAAAAAAGGATATAATAAAATTTTGGTATATCTTCACATTCTCTCGGTTATTAATTTAATTTTTAAGATTTAATTACAATTAACCCTTTTTTTTTCCTCCTGGTTCAATGAAAGGACATCCAAAAGGATCAATTATTACAAAAACGAGTTTGCTCATCGCCTAAAGCGAACCCTACATTAATTATATGGTTTCAAGACAAAATTTTTTACACCCATGTTATGTAACTAAGAATATCAACCTTTTCACAAATTGCAAACAAGTTTGCTAGCCCAATGAAATCAAATAAAAATGTGAACTTGAATATATATATATATATATAAGTTTCAAAAACTATATTGGTAATTTAGATAAATTTAAGAGACTAAAAATTTTATTAACTCAGAAATAATTATACGCGTAAAATCAGTGTTCAACTATGTTGGCGTATTGACTTGTTGAGGAAATCAACCCTATCTCTGATATATATATATATATATATATATATAAAGAGGCAATTTTCTAGGCCAAGATTTACATCAAAACAACCAGAAAAGGCCACATAGTTGGTGGATCGATCTCATCATGGAATCCAAGGACAAGATGGGTTACAGCCTACTTCCGTCCGAAGAAAAGATCATACACCAGAAAGAGCCTGTAAAGGAATATTCACCGGTCTATAACGATGAAGATGGAGGGAAAGAGGAGGGGAAGAAGAAGAAGAAGAAATTAAAGAACGGCAAGAAGCTTCGTCACAGAAAGACATTCTGGGTTTGTTTCTCTAATGTTGAGATTGGGTCGAGTAAGTTGTTCCATGACGATGAGAACAAGAAGAAGAAGAAGGATGATGATGAGTTAAAAGTCAAAGACGGGTTCTTGTTTTCCAACGTTGATATTGAACCTGAAGAAGAGAGGGAAAAAGTCCAGAAGCTTGTGGAGAACATGAGTAAAAAGTCCTGCTTCTTTGTTTGTTTCTCCAGCATTCAGGTGGGCCAATGAGACTGAGGAACAGTAATTTTAATGTTACGTTTGAATATTTCTTCAGTTTCGCTCATTTTTCATTTTGTGTGTCACGTTTGCTGCTGTGGTTACAGTTCAGGTTAACTTGGTTTCTCTGTAATAAAATCGTTTTTTGTAACTTGTAGTTGTACAATTTTCTTGCTGTTTCATGGTTCATCGTCAATGTCATACGATTTGTGATATAAAGTGGTCTCCTCTTGTGACTAAGTAATGTGTTATTCCATCATATTTATAAATTATTTTTACTATATTTTATTAAAATTTAAAAAACTTAAAATTTATTAATTTATATGTCTAAAAATTTCATAAGTTATCAATTTAATTTGTCTCTATTAAATATTTATATTTTTAAAAATATATTTTTTCTCACCAACATTAATGTATGTAAAAAATAATTATAATAAAAAGAGGGAAATATTGAAGGGAAAAAATATCATTCAATGACTACTAATAGTATCTATTATCAAACAAAAACTAAAAAATTTTAAAATATCATTATAGGACTATGAGATTCATTTAAAAATAATTTTAAATGTGAAAAGATTGTAGCACTCCTACTTTTCTTTTCCAATTGACAAATAGTTATTCATTAATTAATAAATATCCATTCATATTTAATAACAAATCATTCACTAATCAACTAATTTTATAATATAAAAAACATGGTTGTGGGAAGGAACAAGTAGATATCATATTTTAACAAGTAGTTATTTATTAATTAATAAGTAATCTTTTTCATTTTGAGCACGGGTTTTTTTGGCCCAAGTGTATTTTATTTTTATCATGAATTTTTTTCTTCGTTAACAAGAATCCATTCACTAATTGATAAGTTTAAAAAAATAAAAATATTATAATCTTTTTCCATATAAAATTATTTTTAAATAAGTCCCCTGATTCTACAGAGATATTTCATAATATTTCGGTCCTTATTCAATATTAATTGAATTGTTTTAATGGTTCCTGAACGATATTTTTCCATATTGAAAATTGATTTAAAACAGCGTAAAAACATGCTTCTTGCAAATATATACTTAGTATATTTCCTAGTAGGAGGCTGGATAATATCTGAATTTATTCGCATTATTATAACTCACCAGCATGATCTCATGAAAGCAATTTGGTTGATATATATATATATATATATATATTTTAGACTCCTTAATCACTAAGAAACCATTATGCACTTAGATCATTCAACGTCAGCTCTTATATAAATATTATATATGCATATGTAGTTCAAAATTTTCAGTTTTAACTAAACACAATGACCTATTCAACCATGGATAATGATCCAGAATGCCAAATAATTCAACAATATTAAAAAATAATAATACATGTGTTGACCTGGCTAGCTTGCTTCTTGAAGAATAATCAGCCCTATCGCAAATATATGGAGAGAAGCAGCTTTTCTGGGCTGATCAGTTTGTCACCAAAAAAATTAAACAAACCGTAAAAACCATATCGGTGGTCATGCATGGATCTGATCATAATGGAATCCAAGAAGAAGATAGGTGATTACGAAAACCTGGTTTTTTCCGAGATGCCTATCGAAAACCTGAAAGAGCCCATCTTAAAGGCATCTCAGAAATATAATACTGATGAAGATAAGGAGATGAAGAAGAAGAAGACAGGTAACGAGATGCTTCGTTTTGTAAAGACGTTCGGTGTTTGCTTCTCCACTGTTCAGATTGCCTCCAGGGTATTGTTAACTATGTAACATCGATACTTTAAAAAAGTATATATATACTCGCAATTTATTGGATATTCGCAACTCATGTGATATGTTTATGTACCGTGTATTTCACAACATGTTAGAATTTGCTGTGTATGATGTTATGCTTTGTATTTTACCCGATATGTATACTTGTGTATATCTATGCATCATATATATAGGTTGTGTGATGTTGTGAGAAGAAGAAGAAGAAGAAGGGTTATATATATAATGAATTGATCAAAGTCGAACGAAGATGGGTTCTTCTTTTACGATGTTGGGATTGAGCTTGAGGAAGCATATGACTTAGAGTGATAGAATGGGGCTCAGTTTTATTTGATCTGTTACGTTTACTAAGGTTTAGGAGTCTGTAATGATTTGTGATTCGTATGCACAATTGTGTGTGTGTGTGTGTGTTGTAAAAAAAAAAAAAACTGCATATGCACGCACTTATGTTATTTGTATGCGAGATTGAGGTTGTTGCTGTGGGTTTTGTATTGTAGCTGCGTTTAATACTTTTTGATTTTTTGAGATTATGAAAATCAGTTACGAGTAATTTTTTAAAACTGTTTATCAAATTTTTTAACTTTTTAAAATTATTCCAAAGTTACTTAGAAGTACTCTTTTGGTAAGGGCTAATGGGAGAGAGAAGCAAACATTTTTTTTTTATTCCATTGTTTGGTGTGCTATGAAATTTGGGGTACTATTCATGTTCGATTTGACTAATCTGAACTCTCATCATTTCAAATTTTTTAGTTTTTCTTTAAGTTTAATTCATTAATTTTTTCACATTTTTTAATGTCATCTCCCTAAAACATTATTAAGAGTGATTTTAAAATTTTATAAACATTAATTAATTAGTTTTAAGTTAATTCTTTAATTTATATATAAGTTATAGACTTGATTGTATTTTTTTAATTATTTATAAGTATCTTCTTAAAGACTATATTTGAAACATTAAATGTAAGCACGTCTTTAAATAAAAATTTAAATGTTGATTAAATCTATTGCGAAAGAACATTCCTTTTGCTAGACCCACCTCCCATTATTCCTAATGAGATATCTTTATCAATGCACAGAGTAATACTTGTGATCGTATTATCTTTGGCATTTGTTTTGTTAATGTAGGGCGCTTGAATTTGATGTGAGTAATGAAACAAAAGTAAACAAAAAAAAAAGATAGAAAATGGTAATTTTATAAATGAATAATTTTTTTTACTTTCATGACGGGAATAAAATGATAAAAAATGACACTTATGTCAAATTGCAAAACTTGCAATTGTCAGGGTGCCATTCAATGTCGTTTAACAAAGTGTAGAGTATATGTGAAGGATTTAGCTAGCAACCTGTGACCCAAAGGAAACTGTAGAAATTAAGAATTTACACGGATTGAGAAATCAAAAACGTCAGAACATCAATGTGATTGTGTAACTGGAGATGGAGTCTCCCGATTTTAAATACCAGATTGTATCCAAAATGTAAAAAGGGTAAATTAGATATACAACCAGAACTCTTATTAGTACAATATCGATCCAACCAGAAAGTCGGCCATTGTAGCTGGTTTGAATGAAATATCTTTCTTGTCACCAAAACAAAAAAAAAAAAAAAAGAACCAGAAAGTCAGCCATTGATTAATATTCCAATCTAAGTGACAATCAGTTCCAATGTCCTTGCGTGGATCCTATTATTTTATACATTTTTTCTATACACGGGTATGTGTGTCTTGTTATCTTGCCTGTACCCCCCTCCTACTATCTAAACGGGCAAGTTTTTTTTTTTGGAATTATTTTGATAACGAAAAACTTTTAAATGTACAAGAAGAATACCATGTAGCATAAACATATAATAAAAAATTATGATAGAATAAAGCTATCTTCATTTTTAATCGATAATACTCTATAATCTCAAAATACAATATATAGTACATATGCACTATCCAGGCAAGAAATATGATAAATATAATGAACTTATATATTCAATTACCAAATGATCCTTGGTTATCATTATCAATTGGGTAAGACTTAGAATGCATTTGAAAACTCCATATTTAACATCTCAAAAGTACTTTTTTCCTTTTGAAATGTAAAATATTGTTTGCGATTAATTTATCAAATCACAAGGACTTCTGTAAAGAACTTTTGGGATAGGGTGAAATGTGAATTTTTCAAAGTTCCATTAGGTAGCTTTTTGGATGTGAATGTGATTAGTAGAGTATTAATGATTGGTATCTACTTTTGCATTTAACCATAATACCCTCCATTATTTTCATTCTTGTTGTGTGCACCCGAGGCTAGTGTTTTTCGTCACTCCCATCTCTTACTACTCATGCTCTCTCATCTCGCTCCTCCTTCTCTTCGTTGTCTCTCCTCCATGTCTCCATCATCGTCTAGTCACAAATCGAACTTGAGTCCCTCCAATTCTTCCTTCCTGAGTTTGGTTTCTTGTTTTGTTAGCCTCTTGAGCTTCATTGCCTTTGTCTCTCCTTTATGTCTCCTTTGTCACTCCTTTATTGTCTTGATCTTCTTTTCTTCTTTTAACCAAATTTTACTTCTTTACTGGAGAGATAAGATATTATAATTCTCTGCTTGAAGAAGAAAGATAGAAAAATTATTATAGAGTTTGTGTAAGAAAATTTAGTATTTGAAGTCCTATAATTTATCTTGATTTCAAATTAATACCCATAAATTTTAATTTTTTAAAATTAATAGTTCGAATATTCTACCAGAGATTAAATTGTATATTATAGATCGAACCGTTAACAATGTAACCATTCAATATTAATGAATATTGAACTACTTATTACATAATTTTTTTGAATATGAAATTATATATTTTTTATTCTTATTACTTAACATCTTACATTTTATGCTATTGGAATTTCTATGACATTTTTAAACATTTCTAATATATTATATTTGTACAATATAAATTATAAATTATCATAAATCAATGTCCTTTTTAGTCATTATATATCCAAAAGTACATTTCAAAAATATAAATTTTTATTAATTCAAACAACTTTTAGTTTGTTAAAATGAATTTTAAAAAAATGTATCTAAAAATAAATTACGTTACAACAATTGACTTTTGCTAAATGAACTTTTACCAAACTGACTTACTCCCTTTGTTAAAAAATACCTTGTAGGTATTTTTTGAGAGAATAAATATTAAAAATGTAAGTCACTTTTAATCTTTAAAGATGTAATCATTATCTTTTTTCTAAAAGTGCTCCTACTGAAAATATCACTTTATATTTTTTTAGGATGAAATATCTTGTTAAATAAGGATAAATATAAAAAAAATAAAATTAATTCAAAAATAATTAACAACTTTATTGGGAGTGAAATTCAATTAAAAATGCTTTACATTTTTTAACGAAGAGAGTATAAATTTAGCCTTATATTTTTAATATACTTATATTAAATCAAATGTGAATCTTAATATATTACTTTAACTAATAACAAAAATTTATTTTAAAAAATAATTTATAAAAAATTTATATATCTTAATTTAATTAAATACAAATTTTTTAAATATATAAGTTTAAATATGCAAGTTTTTTTCATATCTCAATTTATCATGTGATGCTGTCAAGCCTCCCCCCATCCTTTTCCTATTAATTTTTCTTTTTAATTTCACGTCAAAAACTACAAAAAGAGGCCTAAAACGTTACGGAAGCCTTTCATTCCGGCCCCGATATCCATCACGCGCATAAATAATAAATAAATAAATCGTTTTTTTATTTCAGCCTCATATAAGATAACGATAGCCTCCGACTTTTTGATTCTTGGCTTGCTTCACAGCTCTCAGTTGCCCTTCTAGTGTTAGGGTTAGGGTTTTGGCTATACGGCCTCGACTTTCTCGTCTGTTTCCATGGATCCCACCAAGAAGCGAAAGCTCGATGACAACGGCGTCGTCCCTCCCGATTCCGATTTAAACCTCACTCCTTCCGACGCACGCAAAATCATTGAGCGCTTCAGCCCGGAGCAGCTCATCGATGTTCTCCAGGAAGCCGTCGTTCGCCACGCTGACGTCCTCGACGCCGTGCGGTCTATCGCAGACCCTGACGTCACCCAGCGCAAGCTGTTTATCCGTGGTCTTGGGTGGGAGACCACTACTGATGGCCTCCGCTCCCTCTTTTCCACCTATGGCGAGCTTGAAGAAGCCATTGTGATTCTTGATAAGGCCACCGGGAAGTCTAAGGGCTATGGGTTTGTCACCTTCAAGCACGTTGATGGCGCTTTGCTTGCGCTGAAGGAGCCCAGCAAGAGGATAGATGGTCGCGTTACCGTGACGCAGCTTGCAGCGGCCGGGAATACGGGATCAAATACCAATGCTGCCGACATAGCGATGCGGAAGATATATGTCGCGAATGTGCCGTCCGATCTACCGGCCGATAAATTGTTGGCTCACTTCTCACTTTATGGAGAGATTGAGGAGGGGCCGTTAGGATTTGATAAGCAGACTGGTAAGTCGAAGGGTTTTGCTCTTTTCGTGTACAAGACGCCAGAGGGCGCGCAAGCGGCACTTGTTGATCCGGTGAAGATGGTGGAGGGAAGGCAGTTGAATTGCAAGTTAGCGATAACCGATGGGAAGCAAGGGAAGCGAGGTGGTACTGGGCCGATGGGACCTGATGGAATTCAAGGTCCAGGGAATGCTCATGGTGATGGAATGGGTTTGGCTCCACCGTCTTCCATGCCAGGGTCGCTGTCGGGTCAGTACGGTGGCCCTGTTGGCATGGCATCATATGGGGGTTTTGGGAGTGGGCTTCCTGGTCAGCCTCCGATGGGGAATCATCCTCTGAACTCATCTGTGGGTGGCACAGGGTTGTCTTCGGCCGGTAATCAGGCGCCATCTTCTCTAGGAGGTACTGGCGGGTATAGTTCTGGGCTAGGCGGTCCTTATGGTGGTTACGGTGGTCCTGGTTCGACTGGCTACGGTGCATTGGGGGGTGTTGGGGGTGCTGGTTTGGGTGGAGGTAGTGGTGGATTGGGTGCTGGTGGACTTGGTGGTTCGGCTGGTTCTTTGTATAGATTGCCAACTTCAGTAGGAATGCCAACCGGTGGCTACCAAGATAGTGGACCTTACGGTTTATCATCCGGGTACCCAAATCAGCATCACCAACCTACAGGAGCCTCACCTGTACCTAGGGTTCCACCTGGTGCTATGTATCCGAATGTGCCTCCTTACTACTAAGGTAATCTTTTGTTGGCTGGATTTGCAATTGCTAGCCGTGTTGGGTGAATGTCTGTGTTCTTTTTGGACGTTTGCCAGTGTTGAATCACTAATGTTAAATTACTTGCTAGAAGATTTGTTATAGACATGCCTCTGGGTAATTTCTCTAAGTTTTCATACAGAGGTGAGTGTTACTTCCTTCCCGTCCTTACGGCATGATGGATTGCTTTGCTTTGCTTTGTGTTCATTAAATTGAGTATTGAATTTCTCCTTACAGGACTTGCTATGCAATCTTATTTCGGCTTTTGCATTGTTATTGATTCTGTTTCATGAATAATCAATGTCGGGTTGATGAAAGCTGATTTGTTGTGTTTTGTTTCTTTTTCTTGAAGTGCTGGGTGGTTGTCAATGTTTGCCTTGTGAAGCTTATGTTTGTTATACTATTTTTCCTTTTTCATTGTATTTCTCGATTTAAGAAGTGGTAATTAAGCCCCATTTGTCATGGCGATGGATTCATTCATTTCTTGCCATTACGGCTACGTCTGCATTCTGGTGATGTTTGGTCTTGTGTGGAATGTGTATGTAATTCTGGTACTTAATGCGCTTGAGCCTATGTGAGTCAGAGTCCCCCCCTTTTTAGGTGTTTTCTAAGCTACAATATTCAAGCCTAATGGAACTAAGTGTAAACATGTCAATATGATTCTTCTTAGTCCCTTCACGGTCGTGGATATGGCTTTAGATCTTAAATACTGACAACTTGTTATGTCTCTTCTAAAGGCGTGAATGTTTCAGATTTTTTGAGTGAAAAGGATTGAGATCTTTCATTACAAAAATGTTTAAATTTGGCAATGCATTGGTTCAACAGTTCCATAAACAGACATGCTACTATTCAATTAAGAATTTAAAAATTTAGGTGGTATGCTATTGTGATTCTATTGCAGGATATTCTCCATTTCTGTTATGTTCAGAGGTGAATTATTTACGCGGACTTATGTCATTATCAGCATTTGAGTATTTGGGAGTAGATGTGTGGCACTGTCTTCATATGTGGTATCATACGCGAGTTGAGTGTCCAGAAGGATGAATATATTTCAATTCTTGGTTTACTCATTTGTTGGGGTTTATATTTTAATTGTTATCATTTGTTTTTGAGACGGGGTTTTTGTTTTGACAAAGAGGGAAGGTGATTTAACCCAGCGACTTTTGTTTTTGTTCTCCTTGTAATTGTTAGTGTTTCTAACAAATCTCATCCTTTGCATGTTTCATGCCGTTGCTTATATGTGGAAAGTGAGTGAATGTTGGACTCATCCAGAACTAAGTGCCTGCTACTCGTTATGTTTTGTTTTTTTGTTTGTTTCATTAGTTATGTTGTTTATGCATCTTTTTCATGAATGCCCAATCTCTGTTGATTGCTTGATATTGGCTGGGACGTTAAGATGTTGATGGTGAGATTCTGTAGCATGACGTATTTTTTGTACTGTCCTGCTGAAGGGTTAACCAATTATCTATTTATTTCTTTTGTGCTATTGCTTTTTAAAATTAATTTGCTTTGATTGATGGTTGTGGAATGATGGATTGAGTTGCATGGGTATTTGATTCAGGTGTCTCATCACTTATTGGCGCAGATGCTTTATGTGGTTCTGGTGATTACGTGATTGCAGACTGTGTGCTTCTGGTGTAATGAATGTATTAGCCTGTCCATTTACAGCCGCTTGTCTTCATCTGCTTCTTTTTTAGGCTATGATTAATGAGTTTAGTTAGTCAAAGCTACTGAGTTAGATTAGTCTTGTAATTTGAAGTTTTGAATGGGGAATGTGTTTTTGACATGTTTTCATTAATGTTCATGACTTCCTATTTTAATTACAGCTGCTTTTTGATGCTTGGAATACAAGTTTTTCAACATTAAGGTTGTTTCAGTTTTCTAGGCTATGGTTATTTTCTAATTTGGAGTTATGTACTGGTGACTTAATGATGTTCTCATGTAAGGACTTCCGTTGTACACATCTTAGCCATTATGTAACCATAATAACATCAAGGATTGATGATAATAATTTCAGTTTGCCTGGCAAATTTTCTTTGGTCAATGTTTTATGTCATGAAATCAAAGATACATTGAAGCTTTGTAAGCTGTTAAAGGATTTTTTGTATTTCTAAAGTGTATTCTCTCCTAGTAAGTAAACTGTGATCTTGTTTTATAGTTTATTTGGCCATCTATAGTGATGTGCTAGGTTGGCCTTCGCATCTCTATTTTGGTTGTTTACTTGAACTGGAGGTATGCTTAAGAGGATGAGTATAGTTTCCCTGATGTGATGTATTAGGGTTGTGTTGTATGGATGCGTTGTCAACTCCTTGCTGTTTGGCAGGTGGTTATTCTATTTTAATACTGAGTACTGACTAGTGCTGTTGGTTTTCACCAATGAACTATTCCTACACGTACCATCTAATTTAATTGCTCCCTGAGCATTCCGCTGAATTGAATCCCCATCAATCGTTCTTATCCATCCTTGTTGGCTTGTAAAGTTCTTTTTCCCTGTTAAACCTTCTTTCCTAAAATGTGGCTCATAGCTCATTATTGGACTTTGGAGTATGTATATTCTTATGCCTTGGCATGTTGTTTTATACTCAGTTTGAAATTTTCTACTGCCTGATGATCGCACAGCGTAGCAGGGATTCTATAGGTGAGCTTGGTATATTAAGATAGGTAGGCAATAAGACTGAACTGGTGAGATGTAGACAAGCGTATGTTGTGTAGAACAGAGTAGAATAGAAGAGAAACGAGAGAAATTGAGGGTAAAGGGGAGAGTTTAATGAATAGTACTCTGAATATTATTCCACACACAAGGGTCAGGTACAAGGATCGCCCTTATATAGGAAAACATAGGACTTAACAGAACTAACCGACTAGTGGTAGCCTACTTAATTCTAATTATCCTACTTACACATCAATACCCCCTTAAGAGCCCTTGACCTCAAGGGTTAGGAATGACAAAAGTAGGGTGTTGCTCTTGCGACTGAAACAAGGAAATCCAGCTTGCTTCTTCATCCAGAAGACCATTCCACTGCACAAGTACCTCTGTAATGATCCTGCCCTTTTTCCTACCCACTCAATTATTCAATATTTTTTCTGGAATCCAAGGAGGTTCTGGCCAATCAAGAGGGGGATGCTGCTGCTTTGCTGAAGGATCAGAGCATGATTTGAGCAAAGAGACATGAAAAGTGGAGTGAACCCTATCTTTTTACAGATTCTACAAGGGCCAAAATACCTTGGAGTTAATTTTGTGAGAGCTCCTTGATGCTGCAGAAATTTGATGATAAGGTTGCAATTTGAGAAATACCCGCTGTCCTACCTCAATCTCTCTATCCCTTACTGTGCAAATCAGCTTTTTGCTTCATTCTGTTCACAGCCCTATTGAGGTGGTATTTTGCCATTGCTAAAGCCTCTTCTCTTGCTGAAAATGCTCTGTCCGTAGCTTCTACAGCCACATCTCTAGGCAAATAGGGAATATGCATAGGAGGAGCCTTTCCATACAGCAATTCATAATGAGTAGTTTTTGTAGAACTGTGATAGGATGTGTTATGCCATCACTCTACCAAAGAAAGCCATTTATGCCGCTCCTTAGGTTTTTCCCAGCACATGCGCTTCAAATAATTTTCCAAACAGTGATTGAGCACTTTTGATTGCCCATCCGTTTGCGGATGATAAGAGGAAGTAAGCTGCTGTCCAACACCCAAAACCCTTGAAAATTCCCTCCAAAAATTACTGATAAGGAGGGGGTTTCTATCACTAATAATCTCGACTGGAGTTCCATGTAACTTGTACACATGGTCCAGAAAATGTTGTGCCAAGGCAGATGCTGTAGAACAGGGGAGAATAGAGAAGAATAGAAGAGAAACGAGAGAAATTGAGGGTAAAGGGGAGAGTTTAATAAATAGTACCTGAATATTATTCCACGTACGGGAGTCTGGTACAGGGATGCCCCTTTTATAGGAAAACATAGGACTTGACAGAATTGACTGACCAATGGGCAACGGTAGCCTAATTAATTCTAATTATCCTACTTACACATCAGAGTACTAGTCAGATAATTTTGCAAGTGAGATCCACCTGACTTACTCAAATGGTTATTTCTTGCTGGTCTGATCTAATGAAGTATTTTAAATTATCTGGAAACTCAAGAGCCTAATTTTTGTGTGTCTGTTAATTGATGAATTCTCCATCATGCCTTCTACTCTTTGTTTCTTTTTCCATACATTGTTGAGAGGAAATTGCTACATTTGGTTGAACCTGTGGAGTGATCTCAAGTGTGGGTGGTTCTATCCAGGAGGATACTGTCCTTTATTCTGTTTTCTCTTTCTACCCTGGAGGATACTGTCCTGTATTGCATTTTCTTTATATTCGGTTACCTGTCTGATCTGCCTGCTTCCAACAGTATATTTGCCCGACATTCTCTTTAACACAGGGTCATACAGAAGTTTAAATGAGTTATGTCAGAAGGTTGTCTGTCAAAGGAATTTATATACAGAAGGAAGTTGCTTTTCTATTTTTTTAATTCTATACATTAAAGGTGCTACGATTTATCTGAGCTGCTAATTTGGTGGGTTTGGTGTTGTCTAACTGGTATCTAATCAAGTAATAAACCTCTGTTGCAATCGCTGAATGTCAGTAATAATGGGATGTACAAACCAAGCGATGGTTTTACTGTCTGCAGTTATCTTTGCATTGACCATTGGGCGTGACTTTTCCGTGTGGTGAAATTTGCATGTGACGGTTGATCTATGGTGCTTGTTTTACATTCTTAACCATGGTTCAAATTGAACAGATATACTTGTCTCTGGTGAGCTTGTAGTGGTATAGTTATCAGGGAGGATATCTGGTTTATATGGGGTGGTTGAAGGATAGCCTAGGATGTGATTCACATTCGTGAATGATAACTTGCTCCGACATGATGTTCGGTTTTTCTTTTATCCTAACGTTAAAGAATGTCTTCTTGGATTCTCATATATGCTGGAATTTCAAGTGGGTGCCCTTTTGTCTCTTGGAATCACATTGAGAATAATATCTTGACCCTCATGATTGTTTTTCCATTTGGTAAAATGCTCCTTTCCTCGTCGTATGGGCTGTGAAAACTACTGGGGAGGAGCCCCGGTTGAAGTTTGAGATTGAGACTACCATCACATTGAATTGAAGATGAAGAGGAAGTTTCAGTGGTGGTCTCGTTGAGTCTGAACCAAACAATACTACAGCATTGCTGTTACTATTATTAGCTTCTTGTGTTGTTTTCATCAGAGAAGGCCTCAGGGCACAAGTGGAAAATGTGACTTCTGTACATGGTCTGTCCTTTCTTATCCCTTCGCTGTTGCGAAGATTCAGTCAACGTACTAATATTTTTCTTGGATCGATTGTAAAATGGCCTAATAGAGCTGACACCAAACTACTTTTGCTCCCCTTAGTTTCTCTTTTTCTCCTGGTTTTTTAGGGGGGAAAAAAAAAACTCTGATCGAGGCTATGATAATGGGCAACCTATAATTATTTGCTGTATTTATGATTTTATGCAATTGTGCCTTGCCAACGTTAGTACTAGCATACAAGAATTTGGGTCTTCTGTTTCAGTTCATTTTATGAAAAAATTATTTATTTATTAATTTTAGAAAAAATGTATTTTATACATATTTATAATTATAATTTATAATGTTTAAATTTTTGAAAATAAATAAAATCTGATTTGTTTTTGAACATTTTAAGAAATTATTTGGAATAATTTTTGAAAATAATCCTATGCGGACAGGTTTGCTCACATGAAAGTGGGGCAATTGCTCCCATTCAAAAGTAAAAGGGGCAATTGCTCCCATTAAAAAGAAAAAAATTATGAAGCACGCCTTGAAAATTTTCAATTAGCAGTCTCAAAATTTTCAATTGTCGCCACCCCCACCCTGAAAAAAACATTTTTGTCTTTAAGCAAAATTTCACTCCTCTCCCGTAAATTCATTTTACCCATATACTTGTCCGTATATAACAACTTTAAATAAAAATAATGAATTGTTAATAAATATTATTTTTAATGTATTTTAAAAATATTAGAAGTTGTATTATTTTAAAAAATATTAATATTTATTTGAAGTGTAAATTTTGGCCCCTATTTTGGGTCTGTCATTGTTTTATGTGGTAGATTAGAGAAAATATTTTAAATAAATTTAGCAGAAAGAATTAATCCTTTTATGATGTGATGAACAAGGTTTAAATTTTTGTTGATAGAGTTATTTATATTTAATGTCTGAGTGTGTTTCGAAAAGTGTTATAACTATGCTCAATTAAAAAAAAAAGTTTTAAAAATGTGAGATGCAAGATTTGATCAAATTTAAAAATAATTAAATAATGGAGTATTTTTATAAAATAAATAAATGAAATTATCATAAAATTGTAGTCAATTTTTACTGCCTTTTAATCTAAACAAACTAGATTTGTAAATTATAATTGACAAAAATTATATAAAATTGAATAATTGAGAAAAAAATATGTTCAAGTTAATTTGTAAAAGATTGTCAATTTATAATTTCAAACAAATAAAAGAGTAAATACAAATAGGACAATAATAGTTGTAATTATTTTAGAATGTTATTTGCCACAAATTAAAAAGGCCACTTGTAACCATTGAATGAGATTTTTTATAAATGCTAAAGCTATATTGTTACATAAATAGTATTAAGGAAGATGGTTGATATCCACATATTTGGAGATAACTAATCTACTAACTTAGATATTTAATATATTAATTACAATTAAATTTATTGAATTATTGATGATTAAATTATGAATTATATTTGTTTTAAAAATTATTATTAAATTGATTAATTTTTTATTTTTTTTGAGCAGATTAATTTTTTATTAAAAAAATATTTTAAAAGATAACACCATATTAAAGAGTTTTTCAATTACTCTCATTCTAAATTTAATATCATGAAAACATGGCATTCAAATATTCAAGCTTGCAAGATAAAAAAAAAATATAAAGACTTTAAGGATTTATTTTGCCGTCTAAATGATTTATAAAGTAAAAAAATGAGAGAAAACTTTAGAAGTTGAGAA